AATCGGAGTTGTGACATCCAGGCTTTATTGGGACTATTTCAGAAGTGGAGCACAACCCTTGATGATAACTGGAATGATTGGTTTAAGTCTCATTACTCAAGGTAAACATATTGTTAGAGTGAGTTACAAACCTTGGGTCAGGCCCTAAAAGGGAAGACAGGAATCTTTTTTCTACATTTCTTTTATTCTATCTCGTGCAAATTATTTCACAATGGCTATGCTTTTAATCAACAATACGCTTTGTTTAAGATTAGATGGTTTACTTAGTAAAACTTTAGATGGTTTTCTATTAGAAGTGATCTTTCCGATACTTAGCTAGAAGGTTGTGGATGTTTCTTGGAGAGTAACATCTTTTTGAGAGGGTGGGGTGTCGGGCGGAATTTTTTGAAAGGCTCCGTTATATTGTCAGGCCAAATGAGACACTGGTCTCACTTCAATGTGCAGACTCGATGTAATCAACTTAGAGTGTATTTTGGAGTGATGGTGGTAAAAAAAATACAATTTGAAAACAACAAGCCAACCAGAACAAAAGAAAAGATCACAAGTAGTGAAAGAGGACTTAACGTAAAAACGAGGAAACGGCATTGAGCGCGGGAAAACGCGCACGACCAAGCTAAGAGGCGGTTGGTTTTGCGCGAGTTTGCCGGGCGAATCACGAGGTAAAGTGTTTCAAAGCGTCTACAATCTGGTTTATTTTCGTTGGTCAACTAATCATGGAAAATCACTCCTTTATTAACAAATTAATTGTGATCAACACTCGTCCCTTCAGATATCAAGATGTTCATAATAAGGCGTACATTACGGTGATGGCCAGCAATAGGTGGCTCGGTGCACGTTTGGATTGTCTCGCTTCCTTGTTAGTCGGTGCAGTTGCTCTGGCTGCAATTTTGGTATCTCAAGATGCCGGTAAGCTCAAGATTCTTAGTAACGTTTTAGTAAAGAATCTATATAGTCATGTAATACCACAGCATGAACTAATGAAAAATAAAATAAGTATGAAAATACTTGCACTCTTGTTGTAAACGGGTGGTTTCTAAACACGACAGAAACGTGAGAGTCACTCGGGTGGTGTTTTATGATTCAAAACGGGAAACTTAGGTTGATAATTCCTCTGCACTTACTTAGCTTGGAGTCAAAACTACAACACTAAGAAAAAACGTAAAAAAGATGCTTTATTTATTACCTTCCATGAAGTGATTCCCTGGACCAGGCTTAGTCACCAAGCCTTGTTAAGTTTTCGTTAAATGTTTTAAGCCATCAAGAGAAAACTAGTCCAGAATTTATTAATTCAAACTCCAATTTTTTTTCAGCTTACGCTGGTCTCGCTCTTGTTTACGTCATCCAAACTCTGAGCTCGACTCAATACGCTGTTAGAAAAACCTCCGAAGTGGAAAACTACATGACGTCAGTTGAGCGAGTTATGACCTACACCAAACTTGACCGGGAGCCTGGATACGAGGAAGAACGAACACCACCAAAAGACTGGCCTCGGAGAGGAAGTATTGTGTTGAGAGATGTATCACTGACGTACTATCCGGGGGGACCTCAAGTGCTGAAGAACATCAATCTTAACATCAAAGGAGGAGCAAAGATCGGAGTTGCCGGCCGGACAGGAGCTGGAAAGTCATCTTTTGTAGCAGCTCTTATGCGCATGCCTGATGCTGATGGAGAGATAATCATCGACGGTGTTCCAATTAAAGAGATAGGCCTCCAACAAGCCCGACGAGGTATCTCGGTTCTTGGCCAAAGTCCTGTTCTTTTTAGTGGATCATTGAGAAAAAATCTCGACATTTTAAACAAGTTTCAAGATGCTGAAATATGGCAGGCTTTAGAGGATGTCCAACTGAAAGATTTTGTCAAGACACTTGCGGCCAAGCTCGATCACGAACTGCTGGAACATGGCGCTAATGTGAGTGTTGGAGAGCGCCAGTTAGTTTGCTTGGCCCGTGTGCTGCTACAGCGAAGTAAAATCGTTGTCTTGGACGAGCCAACTGCGCATGTTGACCCAGACACAGAGCAGACGGTTTGGAATGTAGTGCGGGACAAACTGAAGGAGTCAACTGTCATCACTATAGCTCATCGTTTGAACACGATAAAAGACTGCGAGAAGATTTTGGTCTTGAAAGATGGAAAAGTTAAAGGATTTGACAAATTTGATTCAATAATGAACATGAAGTGAGATGTCGTCTAAGGTTGAAATACCTCGAATGTCACGCTCTGCAAAGCTCAAGATATTAGTAATGGTAATCACATGATTTCGAGTGCAATAAATAAGGACGTGTAATTTTTTTTAAAGACTAACAAAATTGCACGAGCCCGTAGGGCCAGTGCAATTTGTGGTTTTTGAAAAAATTAACAAGC